GCCCGAGGGCCGCGCGTCGCTGGAGCCGGAACCGGGCCGCTGCGCGGGGGAAAGGCGCTGCTGAGCTTCGGGAGTGAGGAGGAGCGGGAAGGTACGGGTTCGGCGACGGCCTTCCCCTTCCGCAGGGCCGGCGGAGCTTCGCCCGCCCCGGGGTGGTAGCCGGCACCCTTACACACCCCGGAGGCTCGGGAAGGAGCAGCTGGGCTGGGAGCTTGGATGAACGGGGTGGACGAACGGGAGGATCCGCCTGCCTGAGCCCTGCGGGGCTGGTGGTGCAGAGTGCGGCTGGTTACCTTTGTGGTTCCTTACGACCAAACCCAGGAATACTGCATTATGGATAGGGTTTATGAGAGAGAAAGCACTTCGGAGCTGACGTATGGCTGTGTGCTTTTGGCTGGTAAGATTTGGAAAGCTTCCTAGAGCAGAGATAACCAGAGAAAACGAGTAGATAGTGTGCGATTCCATGCCTACCCTTGTTAATGATGAGCAAGCTTAAATAACTGAAACTTAAATGTTTAATTGACTCTTCTGGGCTGTTGCTATTGTGGCTGATGACACAAGGCAGGTCAGGACAGTGTGCAGGAGTCACTTTGCTATGGACACAGACTGCAAAGAAACAGTGTGTTTCAACAGTATGGTGGTGTGTATTGAGGAGGCTGAGCTGCCTAGGTTTAAATTAAGTTGTGATGGATCTTGAGGGATGAAGCCATAGAACCAATAAGGCTTAATGCAGTCAGAACTTCAAAAAATATGCTGTGCATCTGTAGAGATTACATGCACTTTATATGTAAGATGTACATACGTGTGCTCATATACTGCTCTCTTTGTTAATGTTACTCAGAATCATTTTGTTTTATCTGTATAGGTGATGAAGAGTTTTTTAAAATTAAAAAACCATCCTTCAATGAAGTGACTTTTAGAATTCAAAAGAAGGGAAGCCTGCTGCCTGCACAGACAGAAACTGAAGAAAACAAAAGTAAGTGCTTTTTCCAGTTAAATATCTTATGGAATACTTACATGAAAGTATATTACAAAGTTGGTAAGTGGAGAGTGGTGTACAAATACTGTTGTTAGATGCATTTTACTTGGTAATTGAACCCAGGGTTATACTTGCAATGTTGCCTTACAGGTTTATAATTTTCCATATGGCCTTGGTAAAACACTGTCAGAACTTGGAGGCTGTTCTTGAAGACCTAGGTGTGCAGAGCTGTTATAGTAGATCAGAATTACTAAACTGCTAAATTTAACTTATACCTCGGCATTGTATCTTTCAAACTGTGCGGTAACTATCCACAGCTTATTGCTATCTAGTTGCATTTTGATCTGAGTATTTGCATTGAGAGAAGATATGAGCTTAGCAGGATTTTATTTGATAAAACAATGTAAACCTCAAACTTCATGTTATTAAACTACTACACCATTTGAATACTTTAACTGAATACAGTCAATAGCCTTTATTGCTCTGGTAGTATTCCTGGTCTCATTGAACTGTAGTAAGTTTCCCATTGGGATGTTTGGGGTTTGTGTGCTTTAGGAACAAGTGTGTCTGAAAGTTCCTTGCCCCTCTATTCCCCTTTTAACACCTCTGTCATTTCACAGATATAGCCAAGTTGCTACTGTTAGATACAAATAACTTAGATTGAGAAATAATTTCCTTTGAGATTGTGACTGAGATGATAAATTTTCTTAGTAAATTCTTATAAAAGTATACCTCATACTCTTATAACAGGTGGCACATTTTTTTTGTTCAGTAATCTGATTATTTACTGAAGCTGTAGTGACAGATGAAGATAAATCAAAGTTTTTAAAAAACATGAAGATAATTGGAGACAAGACAGACATGTGTAAACCTTTATAGTTTAAATAAGAACTCCCTCATTAATGCTTAAAAAAAGCATGCTTTCTAAATGCAGTTTATAAAATCAAGGGAGATGAATCCAAACATGCTGTGAGCTATCAGGATATTAATTAGTTGGCGTCTGGGAGCTCGTATCATTGCTTTTGTGCATGTAAATGTGCTTCTTGTCTCAGAAGGACATACTAGTTTAAGACTATCGCACATGCTTTGATTCAAGACAAGAACTGGCTTACAAACTACTGTATTGGTGTGTCAGAAGATTTGATGTGTTTTGATGAAGACAGGTGGAGATAGATAAGTGACCAATCTTTGCTGCAGCATAGTGCAGGTAGTTACTGGTAACCAGTTATGGCACATCAGCTTCCAGCAGCTGAAACTGAAATCGTGAATCTTCCTTTTCTTCCCCTAAACAGAAACCTGTCAGTTAAAGCCTAGAACTGGCAACACTGAAGACACTCATGAAGAAGAGAAGGAGGAGGATGAAAGTTATTCACAAAGTGAGGACTACAACAGCTCCGGCTCTGAAAATGAATCCAGCTCTCCACAGAGGAGGAAGGATTTATCACCAGGTTAGTATCCTGGATTTTTTTTTTTTAAAGAAAGCCATTTTACAACATTATTCATTTGAAGTGTGTGGCAGGAGAGGCGAGATGAATCCCACTCAGCTTAAGTTATGTAAGGTGTTGGTACCTTGTTTGTACTGTCAGGGCTACTCTTCTGAAAGAATAGAGACAGTTCACCAGTATTTTTTGTTTGCAAATGTTTATTGTATTTCTGTGTTAATTTTGGAAATGGATCAGAAATTATAACCCTTGGTTTTGAAAGAAAGGTAGCAAAAATATTCCTGTTTAAAGATGCGTAATTATCTTCATGAGATTACAAATCGGACAGCACAAATGAGCTTAAAGTTTCAACTTTGGATTCTTTTGTAAACTCACTGAGTTCAGTAATGCATATCTTTTGGAGAGATGGAAAAAGGGAAGACAGGCTAATGGGAATTTATTTAAAATAAAAAAGCCTGAACTTTGTTTTCAGATTGAGAGCTGCTTTTTAAGTATGCTTTTCCATTTCCTTCTATTCAACATGGCAAGCTTAATAGAAAAGTATCTTGTGTCCTATATCCAGAATTGTGCGATGATCCTGACCTGTGGTCATTATTGACATTAGGAGTGATACAGAGTGTTGCTTTTATTTGCTTAGATTTTCTTTCCCTTCAATGCAGGTAATATCCCCAGTGCAGCTTGTATTGATGCTGCTCGGAGGAAGCGTCACTTAGCCAGGACACAGGCTGATTATCTTCCACTGGATGTTTCAGACAGTCATCAGGTCTCTCGGAGAAGAGAAAGCAGTGATTTAGAAAGTGAAGATGAGTCTGATATGAAGAATCTCAATTTTGCTCCTAAAATGAGAACTCTTAGGCAGAGGATGACTGAACACATGGGTGAGTTTGTGCCATTTCTCTCTCCTTGAAAAGGGAAAAGAAGACCCAACAACCCAGTCCTTCAGAAGTAAACAAGTCTATTGCATGCAAAGTGTATGTGGCTTTTGCATTGCTTTTTTTCCTCATATAGCTGTTTACAGTTTTGTTAATGGAAGCACTGTTTTACCAGAGTTGTAGACTGGTTTTCTTTGAATAATGGTTATAAGGAATACAGGATAGGCTGGATCGATGGGCTCAGGTCAATTGTATAAGGTTTAACAAGGTCAAGTGCCAGGTCTTGCACTTAAGTTACAATAAGCCTATCCAGTGCTGCAGGCTTGGGGGAAGAGTGGCTGGAAAGCAGAAAATGACTGGAGGGGCTGCTTGACAGCCACTGAACATGAGCCAGCAGTGTGCCCAGATGACCGAGGTGGCTAGCGACATCCTGGTTTGTGTCAGAAACAGTGTGACCAGCAGGGGTAGGGAAGTCATTTTGCCCCTGTGCTCAGCACTGGTGAAGCCCCACCTCAAATACTGTGTTCAGTTTTGGGCCTCTCACTACAAGAAGGGCATTGAGGCATGGGAGCATGTCCAGAGAAGAGCAATGAAGGTGGTGAAGAGTCCGGAGAACAAGAGTTCTGAGGGGCAGCTAAGGGAGCTGAGATTATTTAGTCTGGAGAAGAGGAGGCTGAGGGGAGACCGTACTGCTCTCCACAACTACCTGAAAGGAGGTTATAGAAAAGTGGGTGCTGGTCTCTTCTCCCAGGTAACAGGTGGAGAGGAAATGGCCTCAAGTTGTGCCAGGGGAGGGTTAGACTAGATATTACAACAAATTACTGAAAGAGTGGCCAAGCATTGGAGCAGGCTGCCCAGGGAGGCAGTGGAGTCACCATCCCTGGAGGTGTTCAAAAAATGTATAAATGTGGCACTTCAGGACATGGTTTAGTGGACATGGTGGGGTTGGGTTGATGGTTGGACTTGGTCATCTTGGAGGTCTTTTCCGACCTTAATGGTTCTGTGAATGTAAAACTGCAAGCTGATTCTGCAGTTCTAATTAATGCTAAGGAGATATTTTTGTATCTCTCGTAGAGCTTACATTTTGGAGTACTCAGGGATTTGGTGTGTATAACGTCATTGTATTATAATTAACTGTACTTATACTATTATTTACATGTATTATACACAGCTTTGATTTGATACATAAAAATGAGATATTTGTGCTCCTCATACTGCATTAGTAGTCATCTGAGTAACAGCATGTTGTGGAAATTAATATTGGTATGAATTCTACAAATCCCACGAGCCATTTCCAAACCTTCCTCGCCTTTCAGTTTGGAAGCCCTCCATCTGCAAGTTTTTAATCTTCTGGTTTTTTTGTGTATCACTTCCCAGTAATGTTTGGAAGAATCATTGTTACTTTGGAGGGAGGACAACATGGGAGGGAAAAATAAAGGAGGTAACTGCATCTAATAATGATTGTTTTAACTTCCAGTATCTGTGAGTGATGATGAATCAAGTGAAGATGAAGCACAAATGAAGTGGGAAGAACAGCAAATAAAGAAAGCCGTTAAACTCTCTCAGGTAACACATACATTCCTAACCATTGGAAGATGTTTTTTGCTTATTGGCAAGAGAGCTTGTCTGGACTACTGTCATATTTCCTTCCTGGCCCCTTGTTAGAGAGGTTTCTATGAAGTTATGTCCTGATTCTTCAGAGAAAAGGCAATTAGAAATAGGGGAAGATGATAATGAAAATGTGTAAATATCTCCTAGCTGTTCAGAGCAAGGTGTTGTGTCTACCTGTATGTGATGGAAGACTCCGAAAAGCAGAAAATAAAATTCTGAACCCTGATTATTTTTTTTTTCTGCTTTGCAAGGGATCTTGAAAACAAGAGTATGCAAATATTACAGGTATCAAAGTCACAAAGCAAAAATTATTCTTTTATTATACTGAATTTGTGTTGGGTGTCAATCTGAGAGTTCTTTTCACAGTTCAGCAGAATTCTGTCTGCTTTCTAGTAAATAGTAAACAAAAATAAACCCTGTATCTTCTGATGAGCTAGAACATTTGTTGCTGGCTTGAATCACCTGCTCTGGATCAGATGAGGAAAATCTGAATAACCAGATCTTTGTCAGAATAGACAACTGTAGAAATTACTGCTTGTTAAGTGGGAATAGGTAGAGAACTGGGAGAAAGTTACATCTTTTGGCTGTTGAATTTCAAATCCAGTATGATTGCTGTTCTTAGATCCTCATACTCGTTTCTGGAAAACTTGATTTTTGCTGTTCAGGAAACTTCAACCATTTTTAGTAGCAGACATGGTTAGTAATGGACTTGAATGTTTCAGCTGAATGTGTTTTGGCTAGGCTTTAATATACAAACCTCTACCATTTTTAGAATGCAAAGTGTCTTAATTTATATGCTAAAATTCAGTGGAATCCTCTTTTTAGTTATAGTTACAGTTAAGCTGAGCTGTCAGAGTGAAAAATCTGTCTTTTGACCACTGGCTTTGTCAGAAGGTAGCGTTCACATTTACTGGGAGGGGTAAATCAGAACAGTTACTATGGGAAAATAGAATATTAAATGACTAATATATGGCAAATAATTTATCATAAATATATTCAAATAGCAAATATTCAAAAAAGCAAGAGTAAAATCAGATATCATTATCACTGCATGGCTGTGGTTTATTTCTACATTTTATATCTAGATTCTTAATACTAGCAAGGTCTCAGCTGTCAGTATAGAAGCATTGTGCATTATTGAAAGCTATTAATATTTAGACAGCAACTTAAGTGTGCTCTAAATTACAGATTACTTTTTGTGCTGTTCATATGTGTATGCACTGTTTTTATGCAACATGTGCACATTTTTATACTCTGAGTTTTGTTTGATTTTGTATTGTATTTTTCTGTACAGCATTTTCTGTACTTAATTTAATAATTGAAATAGGTATCTTTATATCATATGCCTTGTGTATTCAAATAACATGGCTTGTTGATCTATAGAGCTGCAGAGGGAAAACTTGTGTAAATGGTATATTAAATATTAATACTTAAAATTCTTGTAGGAGATTATTCTTGATGATACTTTCCTGCATAAATCTCAACCAGCTAAACCAAAGTTGGATCCCTCTGTTTCTCTGCCACCTGTGAACTTGGAAATTGTGAAGAAGCGACTGACTGAAAGGTAAATCCTCTTCGTATCAACTTAACTTTTGAGTTGTCTGGGTTGTCACAGAATGAGAAATGACAGCTTTGAAGTCTTATTATTGTTCTAGCATATTGGAGGATTTGGGGGTTATTTCATATGCAATATGCCTGTTATGAAGTCCAGTAGACTACTATAAATGTGTAACTTTACTTAGCAATGCTTTATTGCAGAGGAGCTCTTGGACTTTCCAAGACTGTTTGGTCAACTAGAACTTCGGAGAGTAAATTCATTTACATGGCATCAACTTTTTATGCCTGCTGGTAGCTTTTGACAAGAGCGTTGGTTCAATGATATGTTTGCCAAGCAAACAAAACTTCAATCAGGGCAGGTGGAGCTGGTGATCCTAGCCCTCTCATGGTGATTCTTATACCAGCTGCAAAAATAGCTCAGTATTTCCTAAAGACGCAGTAAATTGTCCACAGCCCTTTTAGACAACCTAGAAACTGCCTTGTTTTTTTTTTCCTTTAGTCATGTGCCAGGCTGTGACTTATCTTTAGCTGTTCAGCAGCTGCTCTGTGGGCAGTTAAAATGTCCTGGGGTGGAGGTAAGTACCTCAAAGAGGTTGTGTGAGGAAGACAGCTGGGGTCAGGCACCCTAAGGTGGGCCATCCTCTGTAGTCTCTCAGAGCACTGAAGCAGCTGTTCAGATAAGTTTAGACAAGTAACATTATACAACTGAAACATATTTATGTGCTACAGGCTTGTACTGAGCTCTCTCTGTATGTGCTTTGCTTTGTACAGAGCATCATTGGCCTGTTTAAATAATTGCAACTAAATTAGCCTAAATATTTTTGTGGAATTGTATGCTTTCTTTGCTGTAATCACCTGAAAGACATTGAGTTAAATGAATAGAAATTTAGGTATGGAATCAAATAAGAAAAATAAGGCTATAGAGTGTGGGAAACCTATTTGGAAAATAGCAAGAAGGGGAAGAGTAACCTGTTTGATGTGAACTTTATGGCTGTGTTTAACATGATAAATGCTGATCTTTTTTTTCTAGCACAGTAGAGAACAATAGCTTAGTTCAATTCTTTTCATGGAAAAGTGTTCCCCGCTTCAGGGAAGTGAAATAAGTTTGTTTCTTGGCTCTGTTACAGGCTTGCTCAAGCTGAGCAGTCACTTGGAGTATGTGAGGATGGAAGGGGAAAAAAAAGAGGATGCGAAGTTGTAATAAATGTAAACATTCCTGTGTTACCTGTCTAATAGTGACAGCTGTAAACATAGGTTCCTGGGTTTTATCACCTGCTAGCAGCAGGAGTCCTTGGTTTGTATTTAGTAGTAAGCTCATGGTGAATGCTTGTAGGTACTGCTATCCATGCAACTTCTGTTAAACCAGTAGGGATGTGCTGACACGAGCTGTAGTTTTCCCCAGATAACATTGGGTAGAATCTGTTTAATGTGGTATGAAATTTGGCTCCTTATGTTTTTGGGAAGTGTGGTGTATTGAGTGATCTAGGTAAAATGTCAGTAGTGGTCGCAAAACTAGCACCTCATCAGTGACATTTGAGTCTCCAAAGCATGATGCTTGTCCATACTTCTGCAGATCTTGGCATGGGTGTTTCAATGCTGCTCAGGTCAAGTGCCAAAGATTTTGTATATGATTATAATGGGGAAAAAATGTTTTGGAGTGCATCAGTGGTTAATTTGGCAATAGTTTTAGTTGTCTGGGTTTCTCTTTTTAGGATAACATCATTGCAGGATGTGCACCGTGCCCACCAGAGGGAGTATGAAAAATATGTGGAGAACATAGAAAGTTCAAAGATGACTGTTCAGGAGTTAGAGAAGCCTTCGGACGCAGCTCTGAATTACAAATTCTACAGGGCCATGAAAACATATGCAGAAAACTTGATCAACTGTTTGAATGAAAAAGTATGTCTACTTTCCTCTTCCTTTAATTTTTTTTTTAAGATGGTAAAGCTGCATTCTGTCAATGAAAGATGAGGGTTTGTTTGGGTTTTTTTTGGAAATGATGAGGGATAGTACTGGGTTTAAAAATAAGTTCTAACAGAAATTTTAAATATAAGGAGAACAAATCGACCCTCACCAGAAGGGATGATCAAGCTAGCAAGGTTTACTGACTTGAGCTGTGATCTCACCTAGATTCTGTTGGATGAAAACAAAATGTTACTGGAGGGAGTCTTTTGCATGTCTAGTGACCAGAGTGCACTGAAGTTGAATGAGCGATGGTGCTTAAATTCACTTTTGGGATTTCTCTGAATGTCTTTACTCAGTTATATCACAGAGGTAGTCAAGTGTTTCTTGTTAGGTTCAAGTTGGGATTGAGCTAGCAGAGCTGTGTGAGAATTTGTGTTATTGTCTCTGTCTGCTTCCTGAAACTCTAAACTTTGTGTATTTAAAAAGATAAAGTTTTGGAGAAGGGGAGGAGCTGCCTGAAGTTTGGCCTCAGTAAAAGTAAACTGCTGTTATCCTCTATAGATAGTGCTGTGAAACCTTACTTATGTCACTTAATTGCATTGCAGTTGAAAGTCTCTTCATGTAACCTTAAGGAGAATTAATGAATATGTTTTCTTTAATGGATAGTGGCTTAAAAGCAATCTGAAAGCTAAGTACACCTGTCCTGTTGAACTCTTTTGTATGAAGTTTTGGGTAGTCCCATGATGAGCAGCTGGTGTTTAGGTTGTGTTTTTCAGTCTTACAAAACAGTCTGAAAAACTCCAATGACTCCAAATGTACTTTTCAATCTGTAATACTTGGGTTCTAATCAAATACGGAAAACTGGTTTTTGTTCATTCTTTTTGCATTTTATTCGATTGAAAATCTGATTGCTGTTTACTCTATTTCAGCTAAAATGCATTAATGAGCTAGAGTTGGCTATGCATGTACTTCTTCAGCAGCGAGCCATGAGACTATTGAAACGAAGGCAAGACGAGCTGAAAAATGAATCTTCTTATATTCAGCATCTGACAAGTTAGTATGAAGCTGAAAGCTATTTTCTTATTGAAAAATTCACTCTGTGAGCAGAAATATGCAGTTACTTTTTGGATGGAGCTTTTAATTTTCATCTTTAATCTCCTTTCCCTTTCCCATTGTCAGTAGGTGTCTTCTGTACCTCAGTTGAAATCCTTACCTCAGTAAGGCCTTTTATACTACTTTTCTCTGGTTTAACAGTGAACATAACATGACCAAGTACTTTGTCAAGTTTTAGTTGTTCAACTCAGCAATTTCCCATCAATTTTGAAAAAGAAAAACAGCATCTAGTAGGTCTTAAGTTGGAGAAAGCTTGCTGATGGAGGATTCTGTGAAATATATGAAAAAGCAGTGTGTTTACTTGGCAATATCGCGTTTACGTGAGTGTCTCTAGGGCTGTATCTGTGCTCAGAATGGAGAATTCAAACTAGGAGGTGACACTTAAGTGAAGGGAAGAGCATGAAGAAAGAAGCTTCTTTGTGTAAGGGTTTTAACAAAAACAGAATTGTGTGGGTTTTTTTTTCCTTTTGATTACTGTAGGAAAAAGTATTGCAACTCTGTCATTTGCTTTTTTTATTTCCACACCAATGTGTTGATGTATGTCATGTGAATCTTAGCTGCTGCAGTTGGAAAAAAAAAAAAGCCAAAAACCAAACCCTTTAAAACTGTTCAGGCAAAGCTGTGAGCAGTATGCTTGAAGGTGCTGGGAACAGATGGAGGCCAGATGCACCAGTCTGGTAACCATGGGTTTAGTTGCGCGACACAGGATAAACTGCTGATTAGAGAAAGCTAGTGGCCTGTGTGATTTTTGTAAAATGGTGTAGCAGACTGACAGCAGGTGTAAAGAAGAAAAGGGTAATGCCATAATAGTTACCATTAAAATTATTTTACTTCCTGCTCATTACAAGTGAGCCTGTCCTCACATGTTTAACAGCACTTTTCCAAGGTTGGGAAGCAATGAGCATTGACAGAAATGTCATCAAATTCACCTTTTCATCAACTGCTACAAGAGAACAACCACATCTGACTATATGCAGTTAATAAATAGTATTTACTGTGCGTTATTCTGGAGACAGTTGGAGTTTTGATTAGGAGGTTTGCATTTTCTGTGGCTGTTTTTCAAATGAAGAACAACAGAAGGAGAATCAGTGTTTCCTTACTGAGTAAATTAGAACTTAAAATTCATGACGTTTTATTTTTGGCTGTTTCTGTCTTTTGATAGGTGGGAGTGACAAACCAACTAATGGTGGTTTGGAAGGTGATGAGAAGACACAGCTTCTGGAAATGTGTGAACACCGAAGGTAGGTATTTGTGTCAGTTCCCAAAGCCCCTGCTTCTGCCACAGGTTCTATGTCCCTATGGTTACATGATTACTGTGGGTCCCTGATTGAGTTTCCTTAGGCTGTTCCTCTCACAACTTGCTTTTAGTACTTTTTTTTTTCGAAGTTGGATTATTTTTTGTTAAGTTTCCTTCTGTGTATGTGGAGAAGAAAACTCATGTGTGTTCTTGACAAAATACAGGATTTGCAGACGAAAAGTGAGAGAGCATTCAGGAGAAGCTGATCACCATGAGGGCATGTCAAGTGACGAGGAGCTGACTCCGACAGAGGTGACCGAGTTCCAGAAGAGCAAAGGTTGGTGGCACTTTGAATGTCATGTGCTAGAACAAAATCTCTCTTTCTTATTTTTTTAATGTGTGTTTTTTGGGGAAAGGGGAGGAAATACTTCATATGAGTTGTTTATCGTTAGTTACACGTTGTAGAAAAGAAATGCGTTCAGACAGTTCTGACTTGGGAAGAACGGGTGTATGGTTGTAGATTTCTTTTGGTATGAGTTACGTTGTGGTGGTGTTACACGTGACTGTTTCCACTAGAAGTAAGCACCTTTAGGTTATGCCAAAATAGATCTGACATTACTCAATGCAATGCTACAGTGTGTTTTTTATAGTCAATTTGTTTTCTGTAGACAGAGTAAATTAAAAGTTAGTGTTTTAATTATCTTGAATTAATTGGTAAAGAGGAGTAGGAAAAGACAGAATACCTTTTCTCCAGATAACAGCAGAAGGGTTTTCATGTCTGAAATTTTATCACTGTTGTATAAGTCCATGGAATACATTGTGGAGAAACCTGCCTTTTTCGGTCCTGTGAGTGTTTTTTTCAGAAACTGGGTTTGCCAGGGAGATAGTTTTAAAACATGTTTCGTTGTCAAAGATAAATGACAAAAGCAATTGCCATATAGATTTTTCTATGTCCTATAGATGGATAAATTCTTCAGCTTATGCCTCAATAAATTCTGTGATTGTTTCTTTTTATTCCCAATGAATATTATCCGTAGATAACATTTTAGAGGATAGTAGGAAAATCTTTGAAGATGTACATGCAGATTTTTGTGACATCAGAAAAATCCTGTTGAAATTCCAGGAATGGAAAGAGAAGTTTTGTGACTCTTACTGTGATGCTTATATCAGTTTCTGCCTGCCTAAGCTATTAAATCCATTGATCAGAGCTCAGTTAATAAATTGGAATCCTCTGGAGGTAGGTGAATCAGCTGACTTTCTTTTATTTGAAAATTTTGTGTGTGTGCATTTGTGTTCTAATATACTGGTGACCCTTATGCTTCTGGGTATTAGACTGAGGCAGTAGGCTCTAGTCAGTAAAGCCTGTTATGTTTCTGAACTGTACCATTTTTGTGAACCTCCTTTTCTGCTTTACTTGGTTTTGTTATTGGTGATGTGTGGGTATTTCTGACAGCCCAAAATATGTCTGAGCAGAGTCACAATTTTCAGGGAAGACTTCTGCATGAGAACTTTGTTAGGTGGGTTGTAGGGTCGTTTGAGAGCCCTGGATAAGTATGTTGTCTAGAAGGAGAAGGTCCATTTCTTCTTGTCAAGTCACTTCTGGTATATGAATAATTTAAATTTGTATTAATATGAAAAATGAGATGTAGTTCTTGCTATGCGTAGCACAGTGCGTTAGAAATGAATAGAAAGATACTGTCTTGGTGTCAGACATTAAAGCACGTGCCTGTAATCTTATTTTTCTCCTTTCCCCTTACTGCCACCCCTTTTGCAATACACTCTGTAAAAAGTAATTATTCTCCTGAATTCTTTGAAGTCACTTTTAACACTCCCAACCTTTAAATTTTAGCTTTAACTCTAGTTTTCCTGATTCACTGTTTTGATCCATACAGTGATGAGAGTGAATCTGAAATTAAGTCGCAATCTGTAGTTATCATTGGATGGAGCTTTTGTCTCGGTCCTGCCCAGCTGAACAACTAACAGAAATGATCTTTCAGCAGAATTTTACAGAGTTGGAAGAGATGCCCTGGTTCAGAGCTATAGAAGAATTCAGTGATGCCAAAAACATATCTGAATCCAAAAGGGATGATGATCCTGATCAAGAAGTTTTGCCTAGAGTGATTGAAAAAACTATTCTTCCAAAAATCACAGGTATAGTAAGACTATCTTGAAAATGGTAACTGCAGCTAGGCAATCAAACCTTAAATAAAGTCAATAGCTATCAAATAATGTTAGTTACATGATGGTGCTCCAAGATGTAGTGATTATGTAGTTCCACAGAGTGAGGCTAAGGTACCCTCTTTTTAAGATTATTGAGAGGCTTAGCTTTTTATATATTTACTTCTGTTGTGTTGTAATGCCTTGAAACTGGAGCGGATAACCACTTGCATCTTATGAATGAAATGAATTTTTTTTCCTCCAGGATTTGTGAAGAATGTGTGGGATCCTTTATCTACTACACAGACAAAGAACCTTGTGCAGCTTTGCATTCACATCTTTGAAAAACAAGTCCTTTCCAAAAATAAACGCAGTCAAGCAAAAGAGGTAAAAGTTCTTGTGGTACTGGGGAAAGGAGAAATTTGTCTACTGTGTGTGCTTTCTGTGCATGTGGCTACGGATGCTTGCAACCTTGTCCTGAAGTTGTTCAGTTCTGATTACTTGCTTGTTTTGTCCCTTTATATAAAGAAGATTTAACAGTTAAACTTCAGCTCTCTGAAGCTCTTGTTACTGAAGATGATAGGAGATGGGACACTCTTGAGGCAGTAATTAGCTTCTGTTCCTAGAAAAATTCTGCCTATACCTATCAAAAGATCTGATTGTAGATATAATCTAGCTTCACCACAATAACAATCATTAGAATTTAGATTTGCATTTAATTTTATTTCAGAATTTGATCTTTAAATGCCAGTAATGCTCCAGTTAAGGTCACCTCCTTAAGCTTTTATTTGTAAAGCAGACAGGGGTTGTTTAGCCTGGAGAAGAGAAGGCTGAGGGGAGACCTCATCACCACCTACAACTACCTCAAGGGAGGTTGTAGAGAGGTGGGTGCTGGTCTTTTCTCCCAGGGGATGGAGGATAGAACAAGGGGAAATGGCACCAAGCTGTGCCAAGGGAGGTTCAGGTTAGAGATAAGGAGGAAGTTCTTTACTGAGAGGGTCATCAGAAGCTGGCACAGGCTGCCCAGGGAGGTGGTGGAGTCACCATCCCTGGATGTATTTAAAGAGCGGGTAGACGAGGTACTTAAGGATATGGTTTAGGGGGTAGACAGGAACGGTTGGACGTGATGATCTCAGAGGTCTTCTCCAACCGAGCGATTCTGTGATTAAAATTTGAAAATCCTCAAAGTTAATTGGCTAAGAGAAAGATTACTTCATAATCTGCAGTCTTTTAATAATTACTTTTATACACATAATCACTTTAGCATGCCCTTTCCTCAGCCTGGTTCTGGTTGTATTTTGATATAAATCTGGCAGTTTATCTAGTATGAAAGTGGAGACATGGGGGATGCTTAGGCCCTGAGTATGAAAATAAGTATTTAATAAAGAGGTATTAATTTAATTAAGAATTATATAATGTTTATGCCTTGAAAAGGTTGCTGGGTTGAAATGACGACACTGTTTGTACAGAAAGTAAAATAATCCAGCATGTTAAATAAATTTAAAAAAATTTATTTAAACAACTTAACAAAAAGTAGGTGTCAGTCTGTGGCATCTAAAAACGTGTCTAAAAACACATTCTATCCTAGCTATGATGACTTCTTTTTTTACATAAGATCTCCATAAAAAGCTGTGAAATTCTGTTTGTAACTGACTTTGTTATTAATCTGTACAGTTCTCCTGCTACCTGGCAAATTAACATGCGTAAAGAGTTCTCACTTAGGGAAATAGCTTGGTCTTAAAAAAACCAAAGCAAAACAAACCTGAACCCTATAGATAATTAAAGCTGTGATTTGTCTACTCTTTTTAATATATTAATGGTCTCAATGTTTATTATCTACAAGTGGTAAGTGTCCTTCACTCTAATTAACATATTACGCTTCTAGATGAACAAAATAACTGTTGAAGTTGTTATAAACAGAAGATTAAGTCTTTCTTGTGAGGACACATTAATAATTATGTTTTTAATAGGATTTGATGAACATGGTTGTCCTAAGAATGAAGAAATCTGTAGAGGAAGATGTCTTTATTCCTCTGTATCCTAAAAGGTAAACTGTCTCTGGGACTTTTAATTTTTTTTTAATTTTTTATTTAATGCACATCATTTCAAAGATGGGGATGATTAAGGGTCTGGGAGATGTGGGGTTAAGATACAGGTAGTAGAGGAGCTTTGCTAAAGGATGTTTGGTTCTAAGCAATGCTGTTTTGATCTGAATCCATGAAATGTACATACAAGTGTTTCCAGTTGCTAATTTTATGGAAAATTATTTCACAGGAGTTGTATTCTAATGGGTTCAAATTGACAGCTGTTTCCCTAGACCTTTATTCTGGTTGTGACTGACACTGCCGAAAGTCTGCCAGGATTCATCTTAATCAGTATCTACAAGATCAATTGTCTGCTGCTTTTTTTTCCGAAGCAAACAAAAAATAAATCCTTATTTTACCTTTTTTTTCTTCTTTCCATGACCAGTGCTGTGGAAGACAAATCATCTCTATGTTCAAAATTTCAAGAAAGACGGTTTTGGTCGGCTGTTAAGGTAGTGAAATTTTAACTTATTTTTCTTTGAAATTAATTTTAGTGGAAAACTATTTTGCAGTCAGTCAGGAAATACATCTTCAGGCAAGTCTGATTCCTGGGAGATTAAAACATTTTTATTAGAATGGATAACCATTTTTCTCAGTGAAGGATGTGTTCCCTGTGCAACCTGCATGTGATGATTGAAGAATGAACTATAAATGAACACTTTATTTCTGTTTAACCAACTGGTACATCTTTTGCAAGAGACTCTGCTCTGACCATCTGTTCCTGCTGGTTCTTATTTTTTCCTTGAGTGAGCCAGCCAGGTTTGCTTAGAATTGGATGTCACTTGGTTTTGGTCCCTATTTCTCTTAGGGGAAGTGTCTTAATTCTCTTTCCTCTTTTCATGCTTTCAGATTTGACTGCTAGCGCTTCTATGTAAAGCATAAATACTTGGGCTTTAGCAAATTGTTAAGCTATTAGAGGGGTAAAATGCTCTTCCCAGCTGTGGGAGGTCATATATGCACATATTAGGGTACAGCTCATATGGACAGGTAAAATTAATTATCCTGCTTGATGAGGTTATTTACTATATGCAGCTTATTAGTGGCTGACTGACAGTAAATTTGGAGAGTGAATCCTGGATTTTGAGTATTTAAATTGGATGGACATAATATTATATCTTACGTAAAACTTGTAATACTGTGTTTTAGCACACTTCTAGCCACCAGGTATACATGTTCTCCGTTTCTTCGTTACTGCAGCTGCTCTCCAATGTTCTTCTTTGGGATGGGATTGTACAAGAAGATACGGTCCGTGATTTGGGACTGAGCAAGCTCCTGAATCGTTACCTTCTTCTGAACCTCTTAAACACACCACCGGGGCCGGATAATATCGAAAAGTGTAATAAGGTAAAAGGTAACATGTACATTGAAGAGGGTGTATGCTAAAAGGTGTTTTTTTGTTTGGCTCCTTCTTTCATCAAGAAGGATCAAAACTGAAGATGGAATATTTTAAAAAATTAAAATTCAAACAGCATTTAAAACTTGTTCTTAATTTTTTTTTATAACCTTAGTGAATAAAAACATTTTAGAGCAAATACTGGTCCATAGGTTCTCAAGAACAACTGCTTGTAGGGATAATCAATCTTGGTTTAAAAGAAAAAAACAATACTAATAATGACTGAACCTGCCAAAAAGAAAGGTCTGTCAGAAGTGACGTCTTTCAGTAGAACCAAAAGTCACCTTTCTTTTTAAACTTTTTCTCCAAATATTTTTTGTGTGAACAGGTGGTTGCATGTCTCCCAGAAAGATGGTTCCAAGATATTAAAAGTGGATCAACTCTCCCCGAGTTACTGAACTTCTGCCAGCACTTGCTGCGATGTGCCCGTACGCTACAGAAGAATAACCACAGGTAATAGATTTTACTGTCCTTTGGATTTGAGCACTTCCTTGTATACTTGATGTTAAGCGTTTCTCAAATTCCTGAAGTCTCATAGAGTTGAAGTGTACTGAAGTCGGGTACATACATTGGTTACTATAACAAAATTTTATTTTTTCTTTATTTTCTAGTGATGAAACAAAAGAAGTTCTGCTCCTGCTGGTGAAAGTCAAAGCTCTGCATATTGTTGAAGACTTCATTGAAGAATACAAACTTGAACACCTTAAATCAGTGATTGGGAAGTAGAAATTATTGAAGGAGCATTTAAACAAGCCTGATATTCACACTAAACCAGTTCTAGTAAGCAATTTGGTACATCCTGACTACTCAAAGATTTAGTGGTAACCATTGTCTTATTGTTAAATACTTGAGGGTTTTTTTCCAAATGTCTCCTACTGCCATTTGCTTCTAGGTTAAGGAGTCTTTTTAGAAGTTACAGTTGTCAGAGTAAAGCAGTAGTTCAGGCATTCTGAAACGTGTGACAATGCTTTATCGCTTTACCCTTATGAAAGGATTCCTGGAAAGACAAAATGTGCCTGTAAAGTTAACCACTGCTACCAAGTAGACAGCTGTACAAGCCGTTTCCAGTATTAATTGCTAAATGTCATGTTCTGACTCAGAAGTCCTTGAGCTCTTCTAACTTGTGGTCCATGGTGATTCTGGTGGGGTTATTGTTAAGCCATCCCTTGTGAAAAAGAACTCATAATGTTGCAGGGGGTTTGACCCTGATACAGAAATGAAGTCAGATCTGGAGTAACCAATTAATATTTACTGATGGTAAACGTGGGTTCAGAGGTAAGAGCTGCACAGGGGAACATCTGGGGAAGAGAAAACTTGTGAAGATAACGTCTGGTGCGTGCTGGAGTCTTGTACTTGAGCAGTAGACACTGCACTTGTGTGCACAGAGTGGGAGCTGTCACTTCCTGCTCGATCAGACCTTTGGTAACAGGCATCTTGATGGTGAGAAGCACAAGAACAACTTCAGTTATCAGAAAGCAACTGAAACCCTAGGAAAATCTTTTTCTTCCCAGTAAGATCTCCTGAACCTTTCTTCATCACACCCTTATTAGATTTCTAATGTTTTATAACTTTGTATATTTGCAGTAAGTAACGTTACAGAATAACAGGGATGCTTTATTTTAGAAATTGTAGTGCATCACAGACTGTATGTTTACTTGTGACGACTTCTCCAAAATCTTCTGGGACTAGAATTTTACTCTTGCAGACTTAATCTCTATGATTTCTTTTATAAGTAAAAAATATATTTTTGGAAAATATTTTAATTGTAAATAGCTTTGTTCAGTGTTACAAACAAATTACGACTTTTAAAGTAATTTTTTATTTTGAAAACAAAGTAAAAATATTTTGCTGTGTTAATGACTCCTACAGTTCAATTCTTTAAGATGTGACAAGAACGTTACCGGAATGGAAAAAAAACCTCAGACCCCATTAGCCTTCATTACCTTTAGGAGTTGTATTACAAATCCTGCTTTCTAGTAATGGTATCTGTCACTTTTCCTCTGAATACCAACAAAAATGCAACAGCTGATCAGCTGCTATAGCTCATTTCTGAGGTTGAGCCAAGCATTTCTATGACTGGCTGCTCTATTCAGTCAAGAGAGAAGTAACAGAAGTATTTGGAAATGACCACGCAGCTCACTTGAGCAGGTGATGCAAACCCCTCTTGTTAAGTGCCAATTAAAAAAGGAGGCTTTTCATTTCTGGAGAAAGGGTGAGCATTGCATTACGCTCCTCTGAGACAGGAGGGGCTGTTCTCAGGAACAGAAAGTTGTGTTCAACCACAAAAGTTTACTACACTTTGAAATTTTCTGGAAAGGTTACCTTTATTGTGTATTTTGCCTATGTACATACAAAACTTGACAATGGATAATCCATACAGTAAATCCAAAGTAAATATTAATTTTCTCAGTAATTCCTAGATGGCAAAAATTGTTACTTTTTAAGCTCTTCATTCACTTCTCTCCAGATTTTTTCCTCTATTTTTGAGGTATCATACTCTCGCAGCATATCAAACTCTAGCCATGGCTTGCTCCACTTCTGTGCTTCTTTCATTTTTGCTTCAGGTAGCTCAAACTTTATTCCTTTTATATTGTATTGTGGTCTTTCCCACCGTTTTGACCATGGTTTAGGTTTCATTCGTACCTGCAGCTAGGGAGGAAGATTAAAAAAAAAAGGTACTGAGTAATTAGAATTTTGACTTTCAGTGTTGCAAGAGGTGAGACAACTGCTGCTCTAACAGTAAGAGAAAACAGATGGATTTGTCAGTATGTTAAGGAACTTACACTGTCACAGTATTTTGTAAATGTTTTAACTGACACTATTTTGTTTTATTACACAGTCCTTACGTTGATGCATGAAGTGAAGGTAACTCCTCTTTTGCAGTTCTACTCCTGTTCCTTATTAAGGAAAAGCAGCATGATAAGGAAAGGGAGGAATGACCACTTTAAGTTATCAAGTTACTAGAGAACGTTCTTTGATGGAGTCTGCTGTTTTCTGGATCTTGTCTGTGATGTGGATTTTAGCTGACTTTTTTCCAACCTTTCTTTCTTTCATGACACCTACCACTTCCAACTCAGTAACAACATTAACATTTCTGTAAGAAAGGCTTTCCCCTCTGCACAGTGTTATACAGAGGCACGTGGAGGCTGTTGCTCCTTGCATGTCCTCAAAATTAACTACAGAGAACAGCAGATATTTACATTCTCAACATCCTTTCACTTTAAGGCAAGTCTTTATGCCATTTCTATTTTGTAAACTTTAGTCACCCTGATAACTAATGCAATGCAGAGCTGTTTAATGGCCTTCCAGGATATGGGTCAGGTATGAAAGCCACCCAAATGATCCTCCACTTCCCCTCTGAAACACATGGCTCCTACCTTGTTTACAGGAATTTCTTCATGGTCTAAATGAGAGACAGGTTTCATGTTCACATCAAAAGTACTGTACTCAGGGAGGGCATCTCGCAGGTACATGAGGTTGTCATCCAGCCTCTTTTCCAGCTTCAGAACCTCGATCGCCTGGATTCGAGGATTGTACAGTTCATAATATATTTCAACACCTGAGGGAAAGAAAGTCTGGTTTAATGAACCAAATTCATTAGAAATACTGACAGCAAAGTAGTATTTCTGCAGTGTTATATATCCCTGTATTCAAGAACTGCTTTTTTCAGAGAACTACAATACACAGCACTGTGTCTGCACAGGCAAGTGCAGAATTCTTTTGTAAGTCAAGTCTTTGATGTCAGAATGGCTTGAGAGACATTGAAGGGCTCGAATTTGAGGAAGGCAAGGTCTGGTTTTAAACTTTAGTCCCTTTTGGTTACAATGGCTGTTACTATCTACTCACTGTATGTGGAGTATATACAGAGACACCCAGCCTTTTGATATTTGCTGTCAGAACATCAACATTTGCATGTCCTCCCATTTTGCCATAAACCAGGATATGAAACCAATATAAAACTCTGCTAATCTGTTGCTTGTTAAACAGTTCACACATACAACCCTGTTTCATGCAACTGGGCTAGTATTTACATGGCTAGCAGCAAACTGCCCAGGCTCAAATATAAGCACAACCATAGTGGATCACATTCAGTCTCCTCAGAATAGAGATTAAAAAAATGCACCAATTCTATAGATATAACATTACTCAGCTGTTTGTTCCATGCTTTCAAACATGGCACATCAGCATCTCTGTGTACACGGTTTTAAACCTGCAGTATCCCCTAGCAGGTAGACTCACGATTTCACTTCAATCTGTTGTCATCCTCTCTGCAGACGAAGTTTCTACACCAGATAGCCCTTCACATACCACTTCAACATTTTCTGCTTAACCTTTCTAGCATAATTGCCACAGTTAAAATCCCACCTTGGTCTTCTATGACATTCCGAAGGACAAAGGTAGCACCAAGTCCTTTTCCTCCCCTTTGAATGCAGATGCCTACAAACCGCTTGGCTTTGTCTTTGGCGTATGGATCTGCAGTAGTAACAGCGAGTATGCTGCCTGCCAAAACAAAAAATTAATAAAAAGACTTAAATACAAACACAAATGTGGAAAGAGAGTCAAAGTGCAGGCGAGAATGTTTTATTTTCCATGAAAACTGCCAGAAACAGAATAAACATTTTAAATGCCCTGGATTAATATATATTGAAGTGATTCTACAGGTAAACTGTGAAGCTTCTTCACCTTTGCACCTTCACCTTTAACTTTTACTCTTCGTTATGCAAATTTAATACAAATAATCTAGTGTATTTTCTTTTCTTGAGCTTCACTGGTAAACCATATGCTTAAGTGCCAGGATTTAAAAGACACATAAGAAGCACGTTACTGTTACACTTTTAATGGAAACTGGATGTAAATATGAAATTAAAATATGAAATACATACAGAAACACATACTAGGTGATCTAGCACACCCAATGCTGTGATGTTCTATGATACTCTACAACATGCAACCACACTTTTTACCATCCCACCCAGCCAAAAATATTGTAGAGATTATGAAAGTTCTAGCGCTGTTACTGACCTACGTAGAACTCGGGGATGTTGAAGACTTTCCGTCTCTGTATCATATCCTTTCTTTCTATAAAGAATTTAAGAGGATCTTTTCTCCCTCTGGGAGGTATAAATTCAGGGCTCAAGAACCTGTAAGAAAAGCCATACTTTCCTAAGTGTAAAACGAAAGACTTTAGCAGCTCCATTTCACAAACAGTAGCCTATGCACTTACAGCTGATCTCAAGGTCTAAGTCAAAGGCAGACACAGGACCCATGTCCCTGTCACCTTGTGGCACACTGAAGAAACATACAGCTTTTACAGATGGAAACCTCAAACATCAACCCCAAATTTGCAAAAAAATCCCTACTGCTGTAATTTTTTTTTCTGTTTTACTGCTTTCAGAAGCCGCAGAACACGGTAATTTAGGGGTTTTGTTTAAAGCATATTTCAACATAAATTATCTTTGGTAGAGCTTTGAAAATACTTTTTGTACAGTAATGCTTTGGAGCTTTAAGAAGGCACTCTCACAATTACAAGCCTGGCAGCAGACCTGAGCACAGGCCCGCTGTGATGAGCACCAGGACACCCCTACCTCCTCTCCTCTATCTGCTTCCGCTTGTCGATAATGACGGGCTTTGGAGGCGGCTGGAATTTCTCTGGCTTTCCATCGCTGCTAATTCGATACCCCGAGGAAGAAAAACACCCTGTAAAAATAATAATTTAAAAAAATAAT